ATGTAATAAATAAATTAACTTGAACGGAACATCAGTTCTCAGTCATCATGCAATTGATAAGCTTTCGTGACGATGCGCAACAGTGGCCCGTCAACTGTCCTGAGCGTCTTTTTAGGCTGGCCTCGCTGGGGAACCCCCCCCCACCACAGCCGTGACCCCTATAATCATAAGCTACTCAGTGATGATGCGCACAAGGCATGATTATAAAAACATTCAGGGCTTTACTGAAAACATATGGGGCTTCGGCCCCCTTAGCCCACCCCAAGTGCCACCCCTGATTGTATGATTAAATGGAATACTAAAATTATTAAATGATAAATGATTATAAATGAATGTAAAACTAAAAGTAAAACAACACAAATGTATGGTTGCTCTCTTGAAGCAAAACACACACAGTTTGCATTTGAGGTTCCTTAGAACCTTCAATCTCTAATATATTTTATTATGCGTGTAGATATCAGCTTGCGTCTGAGGAGCAGGGCCGCAGGTGCAGTGTCAGCGCCCCCTGGCTGTGGAGCTGCAGAAGCCGCACAAACTCCTCCGGCATTTTGTGCATGCGTTTGCTTGGTCTTCTTAGGTCGTAATAATGATATGGAACCGGATTGTCCTGCAGGTCGGTGTCAAACGGCCAGAATCCGTAAACATGCACATGCTCACACAGTTCTAGTGCCGTGCTAATTAACATAAACCCAGAGGAGAGGCGGATCGACTTCAGGCCACGCCCCTTCCAGAAACGGTCCAGTGTCTGCAGGTAATACGGGCTGAAGAACACCACCGGCTGCTGAGGTCTGATTGGATGGAGGGCTTTGAGAGTTTTGATTGACAGTCCAGTGCAGAATGTGTAGGCAAAGGCGGGCATAACGAGGGAGGCGTTTCCGTACACACTGACCCGCTCCACCAATGGGTTCGGTTTCTTCTCCAGGTCTTTGTATCTACACACACAGACAGAGTTTCTAATAAACGCTCTAAATATCTACTGACAGAGCACTAGATAATCAAGCACAGTGAATTTTTTCTATTTGTTAATGTTAAATGTTTATAGCATATAGTAATGTTGATTAATGTTAATGTCAACAAACAAAATTTTGAAAATAAATTAGTATGTTAATATTTGAATAGTGTTGGCATCATGAGCATGCTTCATGGCTGCAAGATTGTGACCAATGACTGTATTGTTAATGTGATAATGTTTAACTCAGCACTAGTTTAGAACTAAACTAGTTCTCATAATGTTGCAGTTTACCTGTAGAGAACAGATTTATTAACATGTTTGTTTTGATGTTTAAATGCTTACAAATTAGCAGGAATACAAGTACAGCAGACTTCACTGTAAAAAAGTATGTTTTTACCAAAAAATACTACTTCAGTCTTTCGACTTGAAATTTCACCAATAATTTTATATTACTTTCCATTTCTTTATAATTATTTGTGAAATTTACTAGCAATTTCTGAGTGAAAACTTTCACAGTAAATATCTCCATGGGTGTGGTCCTCTTTCTGCCCTCAGGTATAAGTGTAGGTAGCATCATCAATGGCCAAATTTTATCAATCTTTATTATTATTATTATCATTGTTGATGGTGTTGTTGCTGATGGGGTGAGTTGGAGCTGGAGGGGGGAAGGAATAGGGAAAAATATGTTAAAGAAATTGCTACTTTAAAGCATTCAACAGTACTAAGTTAAATGTAATCCTGATTATTAGTTCCTCCTTCCTGTTTCTGTCTGATTTGTTCTGTCTCTTGTTGTATTACGTCAAATTGGATGTGTTTATTTATATATTGTATGTATATGGGGAAAAAGCAATAAAAAAAGTTAAGTGCAGGTTTTCTCTCTTCATTCAAAATAAAGTTCCCCGCAAATATTATTTCCCCGCCCCCATGCCGTGAACTGTTATTTGAAAATTATAACCTCTTACCAACTGGACTCGGGCTTGGAAAGCAATCCTGGACGTGTAAATATGGGTTCTGAAAACCATAGAATGAGGCAACTCGCGTCAGTTCCTTGCAGACCACCTCATTTCAGAGGTATTATCAAGATTTCGGTAGGGGACAACGATGCTCACGTTCTCTGGTACAAAGTACAAAGACTGCTTGCAAAAGGAGCAAATGGTTCCTCTAGTGAACAGCAGGTCAGGCTTTACAGCCGGTACCTCATTCCCAAAAAGGATGGTGGGCTCAGACCCATCCTCAATCTCAGACATCTGAATGACTCTCTTATGAGACGGCCGTTCAGGATGTTAACTTTGAAACAGATCCTCGTGCAAATAGGCCCTGAGGACTGGTTTCTATTGGTTGATCTGAAAGCTTACTTTCACATCCAGATAGCCCACCATCACAGACCGTTCTTGAGATTCGCATTCAAGGGAGTGGCCTATCAATACACATCCTGCCATTCGGACTGTCTCTGGCCCCATGCACTTTTACGAAATGCATGAATGCAGCTCTTTCCCCTCTAAGACAGATGGGAATCCACATTCTCAATTACCTCGACTATTGGCTGGTGTTAGCCAGATCAGAATGGGAACTCATCGCTCAAAGGTAGCTGCTGCTCAGCTATCTGGAGCGTCTTGGGGTGAAATTCAACTTAGCCAAGAGCTGTTTGTCTCCCAGATAGAGAGTGGTCTTTCTGGGGACGTTTATCGATTCAGCCCAAATGCAGGCTTGGGATATGCTGGAAAATTCCCTGACTATTCAGTGATTGGCAGCGTTGTTCAAAGTAGGGACTGTTCATCCCTTTGGGGCTTTCCAGAGGATGCTCAGCCTCTTGTCAGCCGCCACCTCTGTGATTCCTTTTGGTCTGCTCAACATGCAGCCCTTCTAATTCAAACAGTTGCTGGTCCCCAGTAGGGATGTCACGATACCAAAACATGCACGCACTCGCGCACGCACACACCTATACTCGGAATGCAAGCATTCGTTTAGATTCACTGACATACTGGCAGGCCAAAAATATTTTTTAAAACCATTAACATAAACAACAATTATTTAAACCAGTTACATTAGCCAATAATGTTAATAAGGATAATCCGCGGACGGTACAAGGAATGAACAAGCTGTAACTATGTGTGTGTGTGTGATCATATGCAGAGCTCATGCTTTCAGAGCTGCACACTCATTTAAATCTCACATAATCATATTCATATATCATCACCATCTTCCACGTGTAGTTCTTCTGTGTGCTTGAAGGCATTTTTGCTTCTTCTTTACCCTTTGAGGACTGACTGAAACAGTTCCAGTCGTATGCTCTGCCAGTCCCCCGTCAGTTCCAGAAAAATTGCAGCCTCGCTAGTCGCTACCTTCGGTACCATCGGTACTTACGCTACTGAAGAAAAACAAGTACCGGCAGAATTTTAAAATGTTTATAACGACTTGGTAGCGTAGTATCGGTTCTCATGACATCCTTAGTCCCCAGTGACTTCCATAGTATTTTTTTTTTTTGGACCGGGTGTAGCTGAATACTTCCCCAGTGCTCCCATTTAAAGCACTATTTTTGTTTTACACCCTGACAAAACAAAGGCACTGATGAATTTTAAGATCTTTAAGATCTAGTTTCTTTTTAAACTAGAGGTTGACCGATTGATCGGTTTTGTCGATTAATCGGCACCAATAGTTGATTGCTGGAACTATTGGTTAAAGGCAAAAATCCAGGGTTGCCACCCTTTTTGGGGAGGCTGAGAAGGGTCTGCTGTTACTATACAGTACAAGAGCGGACTCTAGAGGCGGAAATCACTGACACCTTGAGTTGTTTGTTTTGACACGTGACACGAGCAGGAAACTTCAGACGTGGATTTAAATGCAGCCGACCGAAAATCCTGCCACACCACAGTGCGCCATTCACATAGTTTTCCATGAAATTACATTATATTTGTCCAAAATTGTTGCTAATGTACATAATGACTTCACCCTAGGCTGTAAAATCGTTTATCAGTGAAACATTTGTCTTTCTGTGGCTCTAATAAAGTCTAATTGTTGTATACATACAATATCCATATGTATGTAATTTCAATTCTATGGCCTTTGTGTAGACATTTAAAGATGGCCATCTTTAAGCATGACTGTTGAAATTAAATGGGAAAACTTTACAATAAGAGTCCATTTGTAACATTAAGATGAATGAAAGTTGGATAAGTATTGTTCCTTGTTAGAGTGTGTTAATCAACATTTACTATTACTAATACATTTTTAAACTTACATTTTTCTGTTAACATAAGTTAATAAACTATGAATTAACTTTAATGATCAATAATTGATATTCATACTTTTATTAATTTACAAAGTATGGTTCAGTTCAGTTCAGTTTTTTTTTAATAGTAAAGCACTATTTTAGTTTTTGTTCAGTATCCATTTGAAAAACTATTGGATGATTAATCGGTATCGGCCAGTGTGGTCCAACCTAGCTATCGGTATCGGTAAAATCCACTATTGGTCGACCTCTAAATACAAAACAGTGGAAATACAAAACAGAAGACCAAACACATCGAATGCAGTGCTGAAATGGACCAGAGCTATATAAGGTCTACAAATGTTACAGATTTAGGCTGATGATACACGGGGCAACTTTTTGAGCAATTTTTCAGGGCAACAATGTTGCTTGGGCACTTGTCCATTGAGAATGGGTAACAACTTTCTAGCTGGATACCTTAAATCGGTCGTGGACCATGTGTCTCACCTGGTTGCCCGTTGACAGCAACATTGCCCAAATTTGCTCAACAACATTGCTCAAAAAGTTGCCCTGTGTATCATCAGCTTTACAGTTTGAGCAGGACCTGGTTACAGCTAGTTTCCAAATGGTAACTGTGCATCCAAACCACTATACAGGGATGTGAAAAATGGCCAATGAATGTGTTTTTGCAAAAAGCTGTAGTTAGAATTATTATTTAGAAATAACAACTATTAAAAACAAGAACTAATCTAATTAAGAGCTTAAACTCATATCTGATCAAATTGAATCTGTAACGTGCTTCTATAAATGCTAATTTAACTTGTGTGTGTGGACACTGACTCTCTCTGAATCTGACTGGGGTTGATGGTCACCAGATCCGTCTTCAGCCCAACATCACTGTCATTAATCGACGCCAAATTAAACCTGAAACAGAGAGAAAACCTCATATTATTAGGAAGGATGCATGATTACTGATGGAAGTGTTGAGGGAGCAAGGCATGATGGGATGTGTTTACCGTATGACGAAGTCTGCGCTGTCGATCTCACGTCCACAGCTGCTGTTCTTCAGAATCCCACCACTGCCAACCACAGCACACCGACCCAGACGACGACCGCTCCAGGGGAAATCCTGCACACACACATAAAAATGTACATCACTTTTGATAGTGTCAGGGTTATGTTCTGTTTTGTTTTTGTTTTCAGTGTTCTGTTCCTCTAGTTACTGTAGTCTCCTTGGTTGTCCATTAGTTCAATGCACCTGCTTCAGTTCTGTTAATTAACCCTGTTTATTTAAGCCCTGAGTTTTCTTCAGTTCCTGGTCCAATCTCATTTATGCTATATGTGGCTGTGTCCACCGGCAGATTTATCATTAAATATAGTAATCAACATTTCAAGTGGATCAAAAAAGTTAATCAAAGTTGTCCTAAGACAAGAACGCATTTTGGTTTAAGGTTTTAGGACAACTTTGATGAAACATTTTGATCTACTTCAAATGTTGACTACTGTACTATCTACTTGTATCTTTATTGTTGTGCTCTCATTACTCCTAATGGGCCTCAATTATCAGTCTAAGGTAGTAACGAGCGCAGATCTGTGTGCACAAATCAACTTACGACAGAGTTCTTGTGTGATTCATGAAACACTCGTATGCTCAATCTCATCTTACGAATGATCGCACGTTGATAAATGTGGCGGCAGAAAACAATCGTCATTTGAATATCACACCCCTAAAAACACCCCAGTTTAGAAGTCACGCCCCCAGAGTTTACGACATGGCGAAACGAAACCCGGCCAAAAAGAGGAAGTAATCTCATGAAAGAGAAATTGATCTTACTCCAAAAACACGTGTTAACCTTGTAATTGCAAAGTAACCCCCCGGTTACTGGTTAACGATTGACAAATGAGCTTCATTTGACGGTCAGGAAAATAGAAATGAACAAAATGCTGTCATTCTAGAATTCTCCACCATATTTACTATGCTGCACGCAAGTTCAGGTAACTCAAAAACTTGTGTACACGAGTTGAGACCAGGGGCCTCATTTATAAAATGTTGCGTATAAACCGTCCTAAATTTGTTCTAAGATAATTTCTCAAAAGTGTGTAAGTGCGATTCAGAGAAAACGAACGTGTGCACAAAAACATGTGCGTACGCCTCTCTTCAGGATGTGACATTTATAAATCGCAAATGATCTTAAAATTGTGCGCAGCTTACTGGTGTCAGATCTCCGCCTTGTAAACGCCCCCTAATTAATATCATTAATCATTACACAAATTTCTATGCTTGAGAATGACGAGCACAAAGAAGAAAAAAAAACTTTACTGAGTCTGAAATTGAGGTCCTGCTGGCGGAGGTAGAGGTTCATGCGGGGACGCTTTTTATTTAATAATGTGTAATTATTCTGTGAACAAACAATGTGTGTGTGGCTATATTTTTTCTATTGACTATTATCAAAATTACTACTTCTAGAAACAACAGAAATAATAATAATAATAATAGTAATTATAAAACAATTAGGTTTCCAAAAGTAAGAATAAACTACGAATTCAAGTAAAATTTTCAGTCATCTTATAAAAAGTGAGCCATCCTACTTTTAAAATCACTTGCTATGACAACTAATAAAAAGTTTAGTATCACGAAATTCTTGCAAAGCTTTAAAAAACGTAATTGAAAGAAAAATTGGACGTTTCATATCATAATAAAATAAATTATTACACGATTATAGTCTCCGGTCTGAAACCTGCATGTGATTTGGCATTTCTTTATATTTACACAGTTTACTAATGCAGCTCAAATGTGCCATTAATGTACTGACACAAAAATATATAGTGTATTTTAGACAAATATAACTGATGTAAATGACAAAAACAAAGTTTAAGGATGACTATTCATTTTCACAGAAGCCAAGCAGCAGATGTTATAAATAAAAACAATTAACAATGTTATTGAATAGAATATATTAAAACCGTTATTGCACGACATAGGCCTATTCTTATAGACTACACAGACAAAACAGTCAGAGATGTGTTTATGCATTTTTTTTCTATTTTACGCATTAGTAGTAAATCAAGACTTCGCAAGTTCTCTAGTAAAATAAAATAATAATAATACAAATCATGGAATGTACAGAAAGCGAGTAAAGAACTCTCAACATTAGGCTACTAAAAAGGTCAGTTTAATCTCACAAAAACTCCCGTTAATTAAAAATCTGACTACACTGCATTAATCTCTTACACTGCATCTTTGTTGTTTATGATGAATTCGGTGCTTGCACGTACACCGCTTTTATTATTATTGCAGCTTAGATGTTCAAATAGCTGCAGTACTCTGACTTTGCCACAAGGAAAAGTGCGTACGCCTGCTCAGACCCTGACCTGACGGTAAAGTACTTTTCCACGTCAAAGACCGCTTTTATAAATATGAACGTTGTCGTGGATTTTAGCGTACGCACACTCCAAGATCAAATCTGTGCGTACGCACATTTTATAAATGAGGCCTCAGACGTGAGATTTGATCGTAGCCACCGCTCACATTCATATCGATAAATTCCAAGTTTTGCGTTGAAATGACCGTTCGCCCAATTTTCTGCCGTACGTTAGTTTCGTAAATAGTTTTGTGTTATACAGTTTTGTGTTATACATAAAATGTTGCTTATGTTAAATATTGGGGAATATAAATCAATTTCATAGAGATTCTTTTCATAATTGTTTATGCATTTTTTTTCTATTTTACGCATTAGTAGTAAATCAAGACTTCGCAAGTTCTCTTGTAAAATAAAATAATAATAATACAAATCATGGAATGTACAGAAAGCGAGTAAAGAACTCTCAACATTAGGCAACTAAAAAGGTCAGTTTAATCTCACAAAAACTCCCGTTAATTAAAAATCTGACTACACTGCATTAATCTCTTACACTGCATCTTTGTTGTTTATGATGAATTCGGTGCTTGCACGTACACCGCTTTTATTATTATTGCAGCTTAGATGTTCAAATAGCTGCAGTACTCTGACTTTGCCACAAGGAAAAGTGC